AGTAAACATTTAGCTTGTCAGTGTTCAGTTTTCATATCACAGTCTGTTAAAAATGACGAATTTGACGATTTATCAATATACGACTTCCTTGGTTTATAGGTGTTTCCCAGTTTTTCTTCCACTGATCAGCATGTTGTATTCTACTTTGATGTCGGGGACATCGTAAGTGGCAAAGTTGATCCAAGAACTCCTCAGTCCCACGAAAAAATTAAATACCTTAAGAACCATTTCACTCCGCCTCCTTCATATACAGGCTTTTTCTCCAAGACTGTGGTTAAGGGAAAAGACAAACGTACCACGAAGCTTGTGTTTCAGCCCTCATGGTTGGAAAAGTATACGTGGCTTGTATATAGTCTTTCGCAAGTGGGAGGTTTTCGCAAATATTGTGTGATGCATAATAATCCATCAGATCCTCGAGCACAGAAAAGGCCTCTAGTAACTGCTCCATTCCAAAAGCTAAAAAAAGCCACTGGAAAAAATGGGGCACTTGAGCGTCATCAGAAAATGCAATGTCACCAGTTGGCACTTGAAGCCGGCATTGCCATAATCCGAAGTTTTCAAAAACCAAAGGAAACCTTGCCATACAGGATTTCCACGCAAAACCAAGAGATGTTTGAAAAAAACATGAACGCACTAAGAGTAATCATAACTACCATAATAATGTGTGGCAAACAGAACATCCCTCTTAGAGGCCATCGAGATGACAGCACAAGCACGGCATCCAACAAAGGAAACTTTCATGCCATTCTTATGCTATTGGGAAACTCTGATAAAAATCTTCAAGAACACTTACTTACTGGTAGGAGAAATGTTACAAGCACCTCAAAAACTGTACAGAAGGAAGTCATTCGCATCACTGGAGATTATATTCGGGCGAAAGTTACACAGCCGATTCAGAAGGAAGACGCTTTTTTCTCAATCATTGGCGATGAGGTAACAGAGAAATACGCAAACCAAGAAATATTAAGTGTTTGCCTTAAGTTTTTAAATCTAAACAACGACGTTTCACCTAAAATCAGAGAAGTATTTTTTGACCGTGTCAACCTTGAGAAAAAACTGGTGAGTTCTGGCAAATCAAAGACATTCGGATTCATTTTCACCTTTTTTGTCACAAAGAATAGCCTTGGAACACTCAAACCTATTGCAGCTAAGCTTCAGAAGAAAGAACAAGATGTCTTCCAAGCGTATTCTATGATTGACGACACTATTAAAGCAGTTGCCAGGGTGAGGTCAAACATAGAAGAGGAATGTCATGAATGGTTTTGAAGACGCATCTAGACTGGCTGACAAGATTGGGGCTACAGTCTCAGTGCCAAGAATCACTGGGAGGCAGGAACATAGGAACAATGCAACTAGCGTAAACCCGGAATCGCATTATCGTGTTAACGTTGCCATACCTTTTATGGATCATTTATTGGAAGAAATAAGTTCAAGTTTCAGCGAAGACAACAGGGCTGGGGCCGAAATTTTTTCCTTGGTTCCATCTGCCGTGGTGAAGTATGACAGTCTTCGTAATTTAGCAGAAAAGCTGCAATTTTGGTAACAGGACTTATCTACACCGTCCTCTCTTCATTCTGAGTTAAAGGAATGGCAATTCTATTGGAAACAGTACACACCCACTTTACAGCTACCGGGAAATCTTATCGAGTGTGTAAAATATGCTGATGAGTATATGTACCCCGACATACGAGTTTTGCTTATTATTGGTTGTACCCTTCCTGTAAGTTCTGCCGAAGCTGAGCGTTCATTCTCTGGCTTGCGACGAATCAAGTCATATCTCAGAAACAGGATGTCTGATGAGCGGTTGTCAGGACTTGCACTCATGCACTTACATCATGACCTTGACATTGATGTTGACGAAATCTGTACAGTCTTTGTAACCAAACACAAGAGGAGGATGTTCCAAGGGTGCAGTCTTTACAAGTAGAATCCAAGTAAACGGTAAGCCGGCAATGAATTATAACGTGCAACCGCGGCTGGTGGGAGGGGCTGTGGGGGTATGGGGTGTGTGGGAGAGAAGTGATTTGCCTCAGAAGAGTCCAACAGTCCTTTCTGAACCAAAGTTTGGACCCCCCCCCCCCCCCATCAAAAATTCCTGGATCCGCCCCTGACATAACGTCTGAGTCAGATCGCCACCAGCAGAGATTTGACTTTCAGAGGTGGCGAGTTTGTTGAAGTGTTGACCGGATACTGCTAAACAGAACATCTAGAGCCATATGCGCGAGTTAGTGCAAAAACGTACAAACAGTAACGCGTTGAAGCCGAGAAAGGACATTCTTGGTTCGTTACTGTTTTCATTCTAAGAGATGGAGGGCGGTTAATTTGTGATCAGTTTCAGTGAAGATTGCGTGTCTCGAGACATTTTATGTGCGTTACACGACATATATTCTGCAATAGTACGCCCGTGATACACTTCTTGGATAAATAAATCTCGAATCCAGGGTCATTTTGACTCCTTGTCAGCGGTATGGTCGCCATGGGTAAGTCATGTGTGGGTCAAATAAGCACCCGTTCCTCACGTGAGGAACGGGTGCAATAAGTCATTATTTGGGTAGGTTTATTTGGCAACTATACCGCTGACAAGGAACCAAAATAACACTGGGCTCGAGAACGGGGTAATCTGCATTAAAGGCGCGTGAAATCGACATCCATAAGAATTTGGAAGCATTTTTGGGGCTGTCCTGGTGTACCGGTACACGGGGGAATTCCTATTGTTTTCATATCCATACATGGATTTGTGACGCATTCGTTAATGTTTCGTTCCTTTGTGTACCGGTACACGAGGACACAACCGAATTTTTTGGGTAACATTACCACTACTAGTCACAAGTAAGACACAAGACTGTTAAATTTAATTATGTTAAGCGAAATGTTTAGTTGCGAATGAGCTCGATACGGGCAATTTCGAGCCCAGTTTGAAACTCACCGGGCTTACTCTCAGTTCTAACTACATCCCAAATGAAGTGAAATTATTGGAATGGTTTTGATTTTTTCAAAGGAAACCTAGGAGATAGCTAAGATACAGTTATCAATGGCTATGATATAGCTTTCAAAGGGCGAAAACTGACCATCTGATTGTATGTTTAATTTGACCCAACAGATTGGCTAATGTTGTCCCAAACTTCACAAGTGTAGAGACTCGAGAACTTGCCGTTATCAGAATTTAATGCTTCAGGCGGAAGGTGGTCCTTAGTACTAGTGATGTCCTCTTTGGTCAATGTTGTATGTGATTCCTTCAGCTTACCCTTCACAGCTTTGTGAAACCGAAACCCGTCAAGCATTCATTCAAGTCCATATGGATGACAACGCCAGGGATATGTTAGTTTGAGGTAATTCCTCATTCTTTGTAATAATATTGTGGTCTAGTTCTTTTTTATAGAAACACTATCTTTCCAAAGATAAAATGACTGCTTCTAGTTGGGAGAACAGTGCTTTCAATAACGTTTGAAGTAGTTGGCTACCTTCGTAAAGCACCCGCCGGAGAATTGTATGAAAAACAATTTCGCTCTCGTTGGTCCATTATTTCCATCATAATAAAATGGCTTCAAACAGAGTTTTGTGTGTTGAATTTTGGTAAACGATCTTAAATATTAGTCTACTTTGTGACAACTGTTAACTGATTGTTTCTTCACAAAATCTTCCATTTGCTGCTTGCAAGCCTGCTACCTGAGTTTCACACAAAAAGTCCTCTGAAAGGATATGTGGTTACTAATTACTAAAATTTGAGGCAGTATGTTCTTGTAAACTCAAAATCGTGAAAAAAGACCGGTGAATTGATCGGGTGTCAGGTACAATTCCTTTCAATAATTTTCAAGTTGAATAAAGACGGAAATTTATACGGCGGAATTGAAGCTGGGGTGGAAAAAAATTCACTAAGGTGTGTGCTTGTTTTTGATTTAAAGATATGAATAATATTCAAACCCCTCTTACTGATTTTATAGTGATTCATCTTGGCCTGATTGTTTGTAGGGGGGAGGTATCAAGCCTTATAACTTTTGCTTTGCTTTGACAGTAGAAGTGATAACAAGGGAGTTTGTTTTTTTATAGAGTTCCAGCAATGTAAAAAAATTATTTTCCTTTTGGATGTGTTTATTAACCTGTGGGGATTGGAGGGGAGAAATCCAGAAATGCAAATAAAACAGTTCAAAACTTTTTGAGTAGTGGATGATAACAATTCTTTTGGAACATAGATTTTTTATAATATCAAGTGTTATATCTGTAAAGGCATGTCTAAAGCTCCCAACAGTAACAAATTATGCAAATCTTTTGAGTAGAAGTGGATAGTAAACTTAAATTTCATACAAAGTTTAAACACAAGTTCATGGTTTGTAAAGTTGTTCAGATGTAGAACAAGAAGGCAGAAACAGTTTACAATTGTGTTGTTTATTCAATGCACACACACACAGGTTGAAAAACGTAAAAACAGAAAGCATGGTCTCCCAGTTATCAAGGCATTAGTGACGTAACATAGATCAGAAATGAATTAATGATTACATCCATATTATTACATCTTCCCTTCTTACAAAAAAAAAAAAAATATCTCAATGTCACAGTCTTATGCAAAATAAAGATAAAATAAATAAAATAAACTAAAGAAGCAACTAGTCTTGTTCATTTACTCTTGACCATAAACTGTTTGTGACTGGTTCTGTCCATTGACTTTCAACAGTACACTGTTTATGACTAGCAGTCTGCAAAACACAGTGGGGGTTGGACTACTAGTCTGTTTCTTGTGTACACTCATCCATCCTCTGGTCGGACCTGGTAAAAT